AATGAATACAAAGCTGAAGTAGAGGCTTGAAATAGACCTTTACAACTTGTAGGCTTTATTCTGCAAAACATAAACGGGTTTACAAATGATGGTATGATTGACAAGTACTGTCAGAGAACGATCAACAACTATCATAAAGTGAAATACAGGGTAATGAACAATCATCACAAGGTTACTATGAAAAAAATCGAATATTGTGATTTTTTCTCAATGATTCTTATATATCTGAATTACATGCAGATTATTTAATTGAGATGAAGATTTTGTATAGAGGTTGTTCGATCCACCTTCCCTAAATTCAAATTCTTTCTACATCTTTTTTTGTTGTGTTTGTTATTGTCAGGCGAAGGTTCCTATGAGAGATTAAATTGAGAAATTCAAGATGGCGGATCCAATATGGCGGACGCGGTTTGTAATTATAATGCGATTTTATTCAAAATTGGTATCTGAGGGTTTTTGAGGTCGGAGTTTATGATTCTTTTGTCAAAATTGGAAAATTCAAGATGGCGGATCCAATATGGCGGACGAGCTTTGTAATAAATAGTGTTTCGGAAAACTAATTAAATGCGCTTCCATAGATAGTCAAACTAAAATGAAGTGGAAAATAAATAGTTGTTTAGACAACTATAGAGATAGATTACCGAACTGAAAAGAAGCAGAAAATAAATAGTAGTTTGAAAAACTAAGAAAACACGCTTTTATAGTTAGTCAAACTAAACAGAAGTAGAAAATGAAATGATAAAAGTGTGTTGTTGAATATTCAACTGAAAAAATGTTTTCTATAAATAATGTAAATAGCAAAACAACGTTTGCCGGGTCAGCTACAATCAATAAAATGACTCGAACTTAATTCAATATTTGTGTACTGTCTTTCTTCCAAATGTATTTTAATAAGTAGCATAGCAACGCGCGGAGGGTACAGCTAGTATTATATAAACCTAGCGGATTCTCGAGATTTCAGATTTTGCTCTTCAGGGAAATAATTTGGTGGACCCTTCACGTTAATTATCCAAATTTTTCAACTGTCCATGCTCTCTTAGACCAAAATGAATACTGCAAACTTGTGTGTGTTCATACGGTTTGATTTATTACAAACCTTTGGCCGATGTATCAATCCTCTCTTCCATTCCCTAGGTACTTTTGTGAATATCTCTTGGAAACATATGATAACCATGATAACTAATTGTTGTTGTTGTTCTAAAATTGTTCTATCCGTCATTCGGTTGCCCTCTTACGAGCAACCCTCAGAAGTCTTCGAGAGACTTGTGCGAGCAAGGAATGACGGGGGCCTTACCTTTTAACGTGTGATCCCAAACACTTTTTGTTTATTCCAGAAGAATTTCAATTTCAATGACATTTTCTTGACGTGACAACACTGAACAATATGACAGCACTTTGGCATTTCGTGAAATAACAGAATCGTTAATTTTGCCAATATAGAAATACAAAATAATGATATCCAATATGCCAAAAGTAGCGCTCAACGTAAAATTGTCAATTGTAATTATTGTTTATCCAAGTTATATTTTCAAAGCGTCATAATTTCAAGTTCATTCAAGACTGATGATTATTTAATTTTTCATGTTCATTTCTGTTAATTACCTTCCTAATTAGATGATTAGTAAACCACTCGTAGTTGGCAAAAACTGCAATTTTCAAACTAGATCGACTGTTTTATTTTTAAATCTGCCGCTTTTTCAATTCACGTCTACCGCTTATCACATACTTGACCTGGCATACTAGATACTGAATCAGTATTTCTTGCTATGTTGTCATTTACATGCCTATGTGTAACGATCAGGTAAACATTCTATACAGGGTGGGGCATTAGTGCGTCGGACCTCGATTTCTCGAGTTCTATAATAGCTAGAAACTCGATTCAAAAACGAATGTGAATGAGACAACAAGGTCCATAACTAGAAATTATTGCCGCATATACAGGGGGCACCGGAAGAAAACTAGAGGGTCAGGATCACTCTTTTTAAATGGAATGTCCTGTATATTAGCACATTTTTTGAAGCATCCCTGTGACCTCTAACAACTCCTATGATATTGTTCTAAAATTGTTCTATCCGTCATTCGGTTGCCCCCTTACGAGCAACCCTCAGAAGTCTTCGAGAGTCTGGTGCGAGCAAGGAATGACGGGGGTCTTACCTTCTAACGTGTGATCCCAAACACTTTCGTATTGTTGACTATATCTCGATCATTTCAAATTTATTAATTTTTTTGTCGAAATAATTTCATCTGCAGATGCATACCGAAAAAGTAAGTAGTCACAGTAATGAAATTCAAGAGAGAATAATTATAATATCATTTGATGTAAAGATGCGTGATATTTCTGTAGAATTTTCATGCCCTCAAGAGTTATACAGGGTGGCTAAAAATGATTTTTCAATTCAGAACTTTTGGAAGTGAGTGTAGTAGTAACTTCAACAAACTTCATTTGAATACCCTATAATTTCGTGGACTGTTCAAGTCAGCTGTTCCATTTCAAGGAAGTATCAAGTTATATTTTTTGATTTCACATGGATTCAACTGTAAACTATAGAGATTATCTGATATTCATTTATGTTGTAGAGTCCAGCTGCTACCTAGACAGTACAAATTTCGTTCTCCGAAATATTTCGAAATGGCCAAGAATCAATAAATGAATAAACGACGGAGAACTAATTCATAATCTACTATACATACGGCATACTATAGATAGTCATTTTACCAGACTTCCCCACGTACAACTACAGTTATCATTAACCTCATCTAACAACCGCCGTCATGACCATTTATGATACGTCGTTGGCGCGGTTTCATCGGAACTATTCGTGTCTAGAAGTGCTGTTGTTACTTGAATGATACAATAGTGGGTAGAGAGGTGAACATCGTATATGAAGATAGCATTGAGACAGGGGAAGACCAATGATACTTTTTGAATAACTGCTGCACTTCTAATAAACTGTTTCTCCCTCTCTCTTCATACCATTGTACTTTCTAAGTAGCGGCTGGACTCTTGAGTGTCACCAAAATAGCTTTCAACTATACCTGTGATTTAAATAAACCCTAAATTTTGATATCACTCTAATATCTATATCATATTGCCACAGTCCGATTGATAAGAAAAGAACAAACGAGTTTCAAGCTCTGTTGCTCAGTTCATCTATGACATTATTGGATTATTATTGTTGAAATCAGTTGAATTTTGAGAGCTAAGATTCGATGAATGATGAATGGTGAAATATTTCAACTAGCTGAATGAATCGATTGATACGACAACGCTGTTTATCTCACTGACTAGTGAATTGATGAATGACCAGTGCGTTATAGTGCTTTAGACGTCAGCTTAACGTAGACGTGACCATGAATTGGTGAGGATAATCTAAGGCATTTCAACTGCTTTTCACAACAACATAACTTCACGTCAATCTTTATAATTTTCGGTAATATAAAAAAATGGAATGATAGGATTGATATTACGAAATATTGGTTAACTCATTATTATTCCTTTTCAAAAAAATAGAAAATATCGCCCGTTTTGAAATAGTTCATTGAATGTCACTGTCACATTGAAATTGACCTACTAGGCTACCTACATCTTGATTACTATTATCAATTTATGGTCACTGATAAAAAATAAAAACTAATTTAAAAAATATTGCTTTTGACATTTTCACCAGGAAAAACTGCTGGTGTTTATAAATTTGTATATCGCTACTTCAAAGTTGGAAATCAACTCCCCAGAAGTCGAAACTTGTGCGGGGTTAAGAAGAGCGAGACCTACAGCTTATAGTGGAATCAGAACCACTTCTAGGGCATCGAGGTGCTGCCAGGATTACAACCATGAATCACACATTTTAAAGAAAAATGTTCAGCCGATAGCCGGACTCGAACCGACAGTACCTTCGCATCGTGAACGGCTATCTAGCGAATTTCAGCGCATAGACAAACTCGGCCACGGTGCCCCTTTGTAAAATGATACCCTGAATCCAAAAATGGAAAAATATTCATATTTAATTTAATTTAATTATTTATTTCAGTTATTGCATTACATTCTTTTCTTCATTGATACATTTCATACAAATAATATATAAAGTATAATTAATTTTCTAGTAGGAATGACATGAATGATCAGACAGTAATTCCTGGTATAAGATCATTCATGAAGTATTATCGACTGTTGTATAATTGAAATTACAAATAGTGAACAAAACTTACATATCATTAAGATACAGTCATATTATAGTGAACGATAAGGGGAAAAATAAAAACAGTGAAGAAAAAAAAAAAAAAAAAAAAAAAAAAGGAAATTCATGGTCTTTCAGCTTTGATCATTCCTTTGCATATAAATATATTTCTTAACTTTATTTTTGAATTGCATAATATTTGGGCTGTTTTTGATATCATCTGGTAATTTATTGAATTTCGAAATCGCCTCATGTGTAAACTTTTTTTGCCCAAGTTTAGAATTTGCAGCTTCAAGATGAAACAAGTTATATTGTCTAGTGTGATGATCATGAATTTCAGAATTCCTGATTAATATAAAATTTGATTTAAGCTTTTTGTTGATGATATAATAGGAAATTTTGAGAGTATTGATTAAAAAGTGCTCTTCCAAAGAAAATGTGTTTGTTTCCTTATACAGTTGATTCGTTGGAGTGTCATATGGGGTTAGACCGGAAGTGATTGAATTAGTTCATTGTGAATAAATGAACTTGCTACCCATCACATTTCAAATCTCGAATGATTCAGAAGTTACGATACTGGCAGTTTTTTTGTATATTATTATGTTACAGATACATAACTATTATCATTATTATGTTTACTGAGACAAATATTTAAATGGAAACTAGCAAATCAACGAGGCAAAAGTAACTTTCAAAAATTGATAAATATGAATGTTTTTGTATATTTTTGATCCAAAGTATCCATACTACTTGAAGAAAAAATATCATATCCTACGGAAATCCAAAAACAACCAGTATAGAGAATAATTATATTGCATATTTTAGTCCTGACGAAAAAGTTTCTCCAGAAAGCGTAGAAGTGATACCAGAAGACCAAGAAGAAAACAGTATTGAAGATACAATTTCATACACATCTGTGTCCGAATGTACTTCGGCAACAGTCTTGGATTCCGTTCCAAACTCATTTTTAAAACAACAAAAGCCGCTTCAAGATCCTTCGAAACGAATAGATTCATTTGTAGAGAATAACCCAAGTGAAATTGCTTCCAGTCCATATGTGGACGCAATCACTAGGGCCCCCAGTCGCACGACTATGCACTTACCATTAACGCAGGTCAATAAAATGTTGATAGACACTCAACCTCAAAGTACCAAACAAGAAATACCAAACCTACTACAAAAAACGAATATTATCGATATTCCTTCTGATAGTGATAATATCAGCAGTAACTCGGAGTTAGACGTGTCTTTGGATGATGGCTCTCAATCTGATAAAACTATGATTAGTAGCGACAATGTCATGGAAAGCAGTAGCGATACAAGTACAACAGAAACCAGTAGCCATTCAGCCTATTTGAAGAATATGCTAGCTGACGCTATGACAGAAAAATCAACAGAAACCCAAGAATCGCCCAAACTCACCCGTTCGTCGAGTAATGCAACAGAGTCTCTCAAAAGTAGTTCTGTAGAATGCATTTCAATTTCACAAATCGATTTGCTTCCCAGAGAAAATTCACCTATCAGTTCAGAGAGCCGTTCTGATTTGGTCAAAATCGGTTCGGATCATACGTCTGGTCACACTTCTGGGGACGAGCTGGAAACGACAACTTCATCCGATATAGAAATTATTTCCAGTCCGAATGGAGACTCCAGTAGTACGCAAAGCCGACAGAGCCCTATCAAGCACAATATCAAGTCCAAATCAGATGATTCAGCGATAGACTCTTTACTTTGCAAGATGGCAATGAAAAGGGTCAAAGGTCATACAAGAGAACTATCCGAGGCTTCTAGTGTTAGTGACGATTTTCCCTCAGAAATAGACAGGCTCCTGAAGAAGATGGCCGAAATGACCGAGATTCTGGAATCTAGAGAGTCGAAACTCATTGACGTCAACCGCAGAAATGTAGAGTTGCAGGAACTAAACAGTGATTTGAAACTCCAATTGGATTCCATACTAACTAAACATCTTGAGAGCATAGACGTCTCGCAAGTAACTGAGGAATATACTCAACGATTATCAGCATTAGAAAAGAAATTCCAACAGACTCTTAGAGAAAAGGATAATCTGAGAAAAGAATTGGAACAAATAAAGCAGGAAGCAGCAACTAGAGTGAGCAACTCGGAAATGACTACTTTGTTGAGTGAAAAAGAAGAAGTAATCAAGGAGTTGAGAGAAGAAGGGGAGAAATTATCCAAGCAGCAACTGCAACATTCCAATATTATCAAAAAGTTGAGGGCAAAAGAAAAAGAGAACGAAAATATCATGAAAAATTTGAGGTAAGCTTTATTAAAATTAACATATTTCTAGAGGTACTTTATTATCGGATCGGACTAGGGGGTAGGGTGCCGTAATTTTAAATGTACATGTCATTTTATAGGGTACTAACAGATTATTGTCTCACCTTTAATCGCATTTTCGCATGATAGAATTCTAAGATCAGTCTGTATCCTAGTAGAATATTGATTTCGTCCAACTGACACTCTAGGTGTATGAATTTTATCAATAGGTACTAGAATCAGTTGTTTTTACCTTCCTATAAGGTCCTGTACCGAAGTGGAATTCGGAACCATTTTGAGATCACTCTTGTCCGTCCTTTTGTCTGTCTCTCTCTGTCATAATATGCCTTCAGAAATTGTAGTTTGATGCTTAATGTATTGTGCAGTCAAGCTTCAGGATATGAATTATATCAGCCTATTACCTGAATATCACTAAGCCTCTTGGAGTTATACAATTACTACACATAATGAAGTGATTAGAGTAAAAGTTACAACTTAGGTATCCAAATCCGATTCGTTTCAAATACAAGTCATGGAATTCTGAGTGATTTTTGCTGAATTAGGATTATGGTGCTAGGTTGGTTTAAATAACTATATTTTAATTTGTGAAAATACAACGAATACCAATGAAAATTTATTACTATATGACCAACATCTAGTAACGATTGTCTTAAATTCACCAAGTGTTCTGGTATGTTTTCCTGATCAGGACATAACAACTCTTTTCATGATCTTCCTTCTGGCATAGGATAACACTGAGACACCTATCATTTAATGCCTTATTTTATTTAATCACTCTAACTATTTTTGCTGCTAGATGACAGTAACTTTATTGAGGCATATTTCAAAAAGCAACCATTTTTACAAGCTGTTCAATTCTTCAGACCTTCGAAAATTTCTCAAAACCTTGATCCACCTACTCAACCTAGATCGATGGATGATGTATTGATGGATCATCATGTTGTTCACCAGATGAATTAAGTTAAGCACGAGACCAAATTTGTGAATGTAGCAACACACTACACAGTGACATTGTTTTCAATGTCTGGTCTGAAGTCAACTTGATTTTCAAACAAAGTACCACATTTTATTAAAAAAATGAGTTTAAGACATTGGTTGACTTGACAGAATCGCGCAAGTCACAGTTTAACTTGAAATTAAATTGAAATTAACCATGCTTTAACTTCTTAGTAGAAACATCAATCATCCACAAGACCCTGCATCATCATTCAACAAATAAATTATCTTTGTTTTGTTTTCAGAGAAAGTATAGAAGGATTATCAACAGATGCAGATAGATTGAAAAAATCATTGGCGGCGAAGGAAGATGTTGAAAGAACTCAAATAGAAGCTGTGCACCAATTAACAAATAAGAACAAGAAAATCGAAAACGAATTAGTTAAAGTGAAAGGGCAGTTGGATGATTTAACACAAAAATATGACACGACAAAAAAATCTTTAGATGCTGCTAAAAAAGAATTGAATGAAAAACACAAATTCAGTTCAGAATTGTCGATGAGAGAACAAATGTTGGAGGCTATAGAAAAAGAGAAAAAATTGATGGAAATTCAAAATGAGCAAGTAATAGTCGTCATGTTAATTTCTGTCGCAATTGTAATAATTTCAATAATTTCTTTTAAAGATGCAAAGTCAGTTGGAGGATCTAAGGCAGAAATTGAGACAAACTGAAGAAGAGAGTGGAAAAAAAGAGGAGAAGTATAGAGAAGAAAGAAATAAACTTATGAGGAAGCTAGAAGAAGCAGAAGCAAGAAACGAAGAATTGTCTCAGTTAGAATTGGAAGTAAGCAAACCCTTGGTTCGGCAACTGGAGTCTCTACAAGCTACCCACACAATGAAGACAGCTGCTTTCGAAAAAATACAAGAGGAGCTTTTAGGGAAAATCAGTAATAGAGGATCAACTAACTGATCATCTGTTGAATTTTATATTTTTTCTGAATTTCAGGAGAATTAAATTCCAGAGTACAAACATATACAAGCTCTGAAAGAATAGCTAAAGAGGAATGTTTTCGACTCAGGTCGAAATTGTCCGAGATAGAAAATCAACATAGCAGTTCAAATCACAAAATAGAACATTTAGAAATGGAACTGGAGCAGCAAAAAACCGAAAGGTTACTGTTGGAACAAGAGCTGAATAACAAGATGGACGGTTTGAGTGATGTAGTGAAAAAAAATGAGGAAGCAATTGTCGATAAGGACAAACAAATTTCCAACCTGCGACATCAATTATCATCTTTGCAGAAGTTGGCCTGTGAGGTTGAAACAAAGCAAGATGAAAATTCACAAGTAATTCATTTCACTTCAACATATCATTTGAAATAGTAGAAAAATTCCAAGTCATCTTCACAATTATTATAGTTGTAATTGAAGTTTTTCTACTAATTTGAATCTGGAGGTTTTCGGGATCGGAGATTATGATTCATTCGTCAAAATTTGAAAATTCAAGATGGCGGATCCAATATGGCGGACGAGTTTTGTAATTATGATCCGATTCTACTCAAAATTTATATTTGAGGTTTTTCGGGGTTGGAGATTATGATTATTTCGTCAAAATTGGAAAATTCAACATGGCGGATCCAATATCGTGGACGAGTTTTCTGATTATATGATCCCATTCTATTCAAAGTTGGTATCTGGGGGTTAACGAGGTCGAGGATTATGATTCTTTCGTCAAAATTGGATACTTACAAAAATATTAAATCACTAAAAAACATTGAAAAAATATAAGAACACTACAAAACACGCCTTTGTAGTTAGCCGAACTAAAAAAATTTAAAATAAATAGTGGTTCAAAAAACTGAAGAAACACCCTTTTATAGATAGCCAAACTAAAAATAAGTAGAAAATAAAATAATAAAAATGTGCTGATAAATACAGAACGTAGAATGTACTGATTACAGAGATGCTAATATTTTCTATTTTTGGGTGTATGATAAATTGACGTGGAAAGAAAATTCTGAATTGAGACTCTATCACGAATCTGCGATTAGAGGTCTATAAAAATCACAAGTTTCCATCGTTCAAGTTTGAACCCCCAGATTCGTGATAGAGTCTCAATTCAGAATTTTCTTTCCGAGCCCTGTATGATGAATGTCAATTTACCATACACCCAAAAGCAAAAACGTCCAAATTTACTCGGTTTTAGTTGTATTATAGAGAGATGAAAATTGTGTATATCATGAAGAATGGCTGTAAGAATAAGTGGACATCATGGTTACTGATGAGGATTCAGAAATCCGAAATGGTTTCATTGCAATAAAGTCATATAACCTGTGTGTGAGATAATATTTCCCATATCACTGATATGAATGATTATTTTTGGGAGTTTTCAAGCTCATCAAGATCAGAGTTTATGCCAGTATACTTCTCCTATACATTCCAATTTTCATTTCAATGCTGAATATATTGGTAAGTTATATTTCTATATCATTATACATCATATTATTCATCCGATTTGAAGAAGAATGTCAATATTCAATTTCGGAGGATTTTATTTTTTATTGTTTAATGTTCGACGTGGCAAATAGCCAGGAGAGTAGTTGTTTTCTGTTGAATATTCAGAATGATGTGTGCATATACATATATATATATATGTATACATATACATACGTATACAAGGAGAATGCAAATTCTCAATTTCAGAAGTTTTTATATTTTATTTTCAAACTCTTATCGTGTGTGTTCAATAGATATAATTCAATGTTCGTCGTATCTATAAAAGGGTGTTTCTTTAGTTTTTTAAACTACCATTTATTAACTCAAGGTTCGTCTCTTATGTGCAAATGCTATCCCACAATACCACTATAACCACCATCAACAAAGAAGCATTCTTGTATAATTGTAATATTGGAAATTTCGTTTCAGGAATCAAATAGACCAAGTGAACCAGAGCCAACAGTGGTAGGTAGGACATCACCACAAGCCGGCAGCAATTCGCCCACTCTAAGTTTGGGAAAAGTCTCAATTTCGGATTCGTTTTGGTCACAGGTAATCTTGAATGTCGACGAAACATCGTCATTTTAAAGTAGCAACAATCATGACGTGGTACTGAAAATTTCATGTTCTATGAAATTAGGCGAATAATGAATAATATTTGTCTGGTATTTCAATGTGAATTGGTACTTGTTACTCATTTACATTAAAATTTGGAGTCAAATCAAATTTTTATTGTTTCCTCAAAAATTAAGCTAGATACAAAAATTACATGAAGGATAAAAAAGTTGTTATTTCAATAGTTCAATCTAATGAAAATATAAAACTCGAAAAACCGGTAGCGTACAATGACATTCACCACAAACACTGTGACGCCACTGGAAATATTATTTCGAATCTAATTGCACTAGAAGAAGTCTCATATTACTGTTAACAAAATCACAACGTTTTATTGAAATTGATGAAAAGACAACTGGGTAATGAATAAAAAAAACGATTTTTCATGGAAATATTAATACCCTGTATCTCGAAAACGAAGCAAGTTAGGACACATATTTATATGAACTTCATTTCCTTGAATATCACAAGGAATCACTCCTTGAATTTTTTCGGTGTTATTTAGATAATTTAATTTGTAGAACAACTAATTCATTTGTATTGTCCAGCATGTAGGTCCCATCTACAAATTATCTAAATAACACTGAAAAAATTCAAGATACCTACAGGGTGATAGACTTTTCAGGGGTCGTACCCCTGTAGACCTTTTTTGCGTGCCGTCTCTGCTTTCAATGGGACATAGATTCAGATTGTCCTTTCAATTTGGAAACTTTTTGCCCCTATGTAAATTTTTCGAAAACTGTATGGATCACGATATAAATGCCAAAAATAAATTACTTGTAATAAAACCGTCATTTCTCAAACGCACTTATTTGACATTTCTCAAACATTTTATTGGAAAATAGAATGGCCGAAAGTTTCCATACCAAATGAAATTCAGTTGCAAAATTAGATTGAATTTTTTGAACACCATTATAATTAAAACTAGGAAAAACAAAGAAAAAATGTTTTTATTTTAAAAAAACTTCTCTAACTGGATTGCAAAATCTGAAATTGTATTGTAGAAAATTCTAGGACACCCTGTATAACTGAAACTGGTTAAACTTCCGATATCAGGGACTGTATGACACACGGTCTAGGCGCTATACATCGCTAGACTGTCGCTTCTGACGGTTGAGGTGTTGTGAGTTTTAATAATTTAAGAACGGCAGTTCTAATTTTATCAGTACCCTTAGGTTCGGATTCCACTTTTATTTATCTCGAAATTCATACAGTTTTCGAAAAACATACATGGGGGCAAAAAGTTTCCAAATTGCAGAGACAATCTGAATCTATGTCCCATTGAAAGCAGAGACGGCACGCAAAAAAGTTCTACAGGGTTAAATTGGGTACGACCCCTGAAAGTCTATCACCAGGTAGATATTCAAAAACGCTCAATAGCCTCAAATATTGAGTTTTTGAAGTGTATCAGGTGTACCAAATTCCAATCAATTATTCCGAAAATTGTAGAGTCCTGCTATAAAAAACTGAAACAACCTGTATATAACTTGATATATAGCCCATATACCAGTCCTGAAAGCAGCACCTATGGTAACCGGTTAATAATTGTTGCTCTTTTGTTTTTATAATTATTTTAGTTTTCGTGTGGTGTTCAATACTATTCCTTATTTGTTCCATTGTTCCTAATAGTGAGCAATTTTTCTTGTCGAATTTTATGCAGTTTCCTAAAGTATTATTTTTTCTGTTTGTAAATTGTTTGCGCTGCCGATCGATGATGCGCGATATGTGTTTGTATTAAATATATGTCCACCTCTATAGCATATTTAAAAACCGACACCAAAGGTCGGCCACTTGGTGACAAAAATTTTATATTATCCTCCTAGATGCGCCCTTGCCTTACCGTCTTGTACGAAAGTAACATGAAACAGAGAAAGTACCATCGATATGGCTGCATTCGTAACAAAAACAGATACTATTCGATGCTTGAGTGACAAGAGTCTCGAGATCATACCCGTGTGTTCACCGAACACGCCCGATCGTTAGTTGTTTACATTCATAGTAGAGTAAATAGACTGGCAAAAGGCTTCTAGAATAGATTTTCGTGGGCACTTTGTTGCTAAAATGTAAAACCCATTTTTTATCATTCCTAAGACCTTTGCAATGCAAAATCACTTGGTCGTCCAAAAATCGTAGTTGGAGGGGAGTGGGGGGAGCCTTTTTAAAAAAAAAAGCCAATTTTTTTTTTCATCGGTTTTCAGATCTAAGATGTGAGATAATTCATTCCTCAAATTTGCATACCCATCCGGATATCAGAAATATTTTTTTTTAATTTATAAAAATACGTCGTAGCATTGTTGTATATGGAGAGCCTTCACACAAAACCGCTTGCCCTGGACACCCATATTTTTAAAATCATTTAACTCGCTCTACCTCGAAAAGTATTGGGTCTAGCAAAAAAAGACTTTCTATAAACGTTAAAGACCAAACATCAGAGAACATGTTGGTTTTTTTAGAATTTTGATTGGATAATTGGTTCACGAGGAAATTGAATAAATCGAACGGCATGTCGCGACGAACGGCGGCTAGCGCAGAGATACGGGGAAGGGCGAGATTGCTATGCCTGTGTCAACCGAAAATCCACTCTACTGAGGGCGATGTTGATACGGTCGATTTTACCGTGAATTCACTGTTTTGTTGTAAATTCGAATGCATTGTTCTGGTAGCGCTGATTCTACTGAGATTACTAGTGATGAGTGATCAAGTTCTTGTCTATAAATCATATTATTAAAAGCGAATAATAACTTATTGCTAAGTTAACAATATTTAGAACTTACTTAGTGAGTATTAGGTACAGTTAGTATTTTTTTTGTATCCTCTAGAAATGGATTTAACGATCAGCAGCAGCTCTGACAGTGAACTAGAGTCGAAAATCAAATTAAGACTTGCTTCTTTTCGTAAAACTGTCAATGGACAAGACGTTTTTATTCAAAATGTGTGTCTTATTTGTTTGGAAGGAGGAAAGCTGGTTATCTCTCATGAAAAATCAAAAAAAAAATTCATTGAATTCACGAAAGAACGTATGACAAATTGTCATGATGACAAATATATGCGGCATATATTCTCAAAGTTTGATGAATTAGAAAATCAAAGTTTTTTAAAATGGCACAAAAACCGTTATAAATCGTATACGAGCTCAAAGAACATTGCCTCGTACAAGTCAAAAAATAACAAACTGACAGCTGATTCTCCAGCAGATTTTTGTAGAGCAGATATTTTTCAAAAACGTCCCTTGCGGACACCTTCTGATTCACAAAAGTGCGTATTTTGTCAGGAGCAATCACAGAATCAAAAACTAAGCCAAGTTATGACTCGTAATATGCAAGAAAAAATAAGAACAATATCACGAAGTAACCCTGTGTTTTCTACGAAAACTGCCGTATAATCAGAAGCTTGCAATACCTAATGACTTTCATTCCCTTAAAGAAATTACTTTGACAAATCAAAAAGAAAAGTACAACCTGAGGAAAATAAACTGATCATCATAGAGAAGGGCGAAATACTTAATAATAACATGAGATATCGTAATATCACGTGGTGCATTTGCAGAATGAGGGACTCTAGTACAGGGTTGGCATGAATTAATTCATATGAATTAAATCAGTGATTTAATTCGTGAATTAATTCCATTGACTTTTTTCGAAAAAGTAATGAATTCATTAAAATTTTTAAAAATGAGACAAATTGCACTATTATACCTTTGATTTTAACTAGTTTAAACTGAAAAGTTCGATCGTATTTTGACAAGACTTTGTTATTTCAAGCATGACAGAGATTTTTACTAACAGATATATACCATCCATAAAGTCCATGACATATGAGAACAGTTTTATTATCACATCATCGAATTTGTTTCTCTCGGCGATCCATTATGCATATCCGATAACTTGAAAATCGATTTTGACACATGTCACGTGATCACTGGTATGGTGATAAATAAAAATAATACTATGAAGCGACGAAAAGTGGGGTTAGATAACAAAATATCCATAAACATTTCTCATTAAGTTGCTATTCCACATTCAGTTTCGAGCAATTCTTGGAGGAGAATTGGAAATAGCTATCTTTTTTCGAATATTCTTCAATTTTGTAACATATTTTTTTTTCTGACAGTAGTGATGTTGATGATGTACAAGTTGAATAGAATTCAATTTCATGCTCACATATGGAGTTTCCAGCCATTATTTGAGAAAACTGACAATAGCTATTTTTATTTTTTTTAAATAACTCCATCTGGCATCTTCCCATCCAACCCCACATTTTGCCATCGTAATTTTTTGAATTTACCGCCATACCACTGATCAAGTGACATGTGTCAGAATTGACTTTTAAGTAGTCATCAGACATGCATAATAGATCTCCAAGAAAAAATGTTTCGATATTCTACTAATAAACTTTTTCTCCATGTGTTACGAACTTTATGGATGATACTGGATCTATATGTATCTATTATTTTGTATTCTATCATCACTTTTAATTTTGTTTCGAAAAAATAACATGTTATATTATGATGTTATTCTACAAGATTTCTGAAGAGAATAAAAACATAGCTTTTTTGTTTCTTTTTTCCTATTTCGCTTTGGGTAAATGAAATTTGTTTGTTTTTTTTTCAAATCAATCAATTCAAAAAAGTCTGACTTATTTCAAAAAGTCGGACTTTGATGACTTTTTCATAAAAGTCATGACTTATTCCAACCCTGCTCTAGTAGCAATCAAACCGTTTTGTGAATCAAAAGGTATCCGCAAGGGACGTTTTTGAAAAATATCTGCTACAAAAATCTGCTGGAGAATCAGCTGTCAGTTTGTTATTTTTTGACTTGTACGAGGCAATGTTCTTTGAGCTCGTATACGATTTATAACGGTTTTTGTGCCATTTTAAAAAACTTTGATTTTCTAATTCATAAACTTTGAGAATATATGCCGCATATATTTGTCATCAT